TAGAGATTTTAAAAAAGGCACTAAAGTAAATAAGCCACAGTCTCTCCGAGTACAGCCTTACTGCCATTTTAAAGTAAGATTTACTTATTGGACAGGAAGAATGCCAGAAACAGACAGGCAGGCAGAGATCTTCCACCTGCTGGCTTACTCTCCAAATGGTCTTAACAGGCACGCATGGGTTAGGCAGCAGGCAGGAGCCAGGAACTTCATCTGGGTCTCTCACATGGGTGGTATGGGTGTGTCGGTCATTTTTCATTGCTCTCTCAGGCACATTAGCAGGGAGTTGGATGAAAAGCAGTGCAGCCAGTCTTGAACTGCCTTTCCAACATGAAATGGCAGCATCGCAAGCAGCAGCTTAACTTGCTATGCCACCATACTAGCTCCTCATTGATATTTTTAAATGTCTTACTCTTAAAAAAAAAAACATGAATGCATAGCACTACAAACGTCTATGATGTTTATTACTTCAACCTGGCTTTTTTCTTTTCACTTTATAAACATGGAGCAATGTTGTTTCATATAATCAAAAACATTATTTAATAATGGCAAGTGATTTGTGATACATTCTTCTGTGACCCACTGATCTGAAGCCTAAATTTTAAACAGAAAAGAAAGGTAAGCAAACAAACAAAAACCGTCCATTTCTCACTTTATCAACAAAAGTTTGATTCACAGTGTATTCACAGAAAAGGTTGCCGTTTAGCACACATTTTGAGATGCTCTTTTCTGAGCCAAGTATCAGAGCTGTACAGTTAGACAGTATTCCCTCCCAGAAGCTGTCTTGCCTTGCAAAGGCTCAGCAAATTAGTATGACAAAGGCAGCAGAGGCAGGCTTTCACTCCTGAAAAACTCCGGACAGCACAGAGAGGGACCAAGAATCAATGAAGTCCAGGTTTAGAGCAAAGTGAAAGACTTATTTAGAAGAGATCTGAGAGGGTGAACTGTGTCAGCAAATTCACATTTCACAGAGCCCTCTGGGGAGCAAATGTCATTACCATCTGACAGCTGTCTAGGGCCTTGAATGAACTGACTTGGTTTCACTCCAGTTTCTAGAGAACAGGTGCACACATCACCAATTATGAGGGGGTATACCTATGGTTATATTTGGCACTAATTAACATCTTTGCAGGCAGCTCCTCAAAAGACAGACTCAGAGCTCAACTGCTGTGGAGGAGGCTGACTGTACTGGATCAGGCAGGTTCACAACTGTGCAGCCTTGTGCAGCCACGATTCTCAAACAGATGCAGACAGCCTTGGCATGTCACATGATGATACTTGTAGGCACAAGTGTGGATAGATTATATAATGAATGGATAGATTATATATGAATCTTCAAACTTTGAAAAACCCAGAAGGGCATTAAATTGTATAATCAGGATTTGGCTCCCTAAGTTCAGGCAGATATTTAAACCTGAAAATCTTGCATTAATGGCTAGCAGATTGGGGTGGAGACTTGACCTCATCATAGCATCTTGGAAGTGAGCACAGTGGGGGATGCCCATGGAGAAAGTTCCTGAGGGAGGCTGGGTGCCCTAAAATGAGTTTAGCTCAGCTTCCCTCGTGTGACTGTCCCTCCAACTTCATATAACTTCACCAGATGACCGAACCAATGAAGCCACTGTCCTTGGACTGCGAGTGTACAAACCACAAGCTGAAACAAATCTTTTTTCCTAAGAAGCTCCTCTTGGGTATTTTAGTGGCAATAATCATCATCATCCTCTATCAACTGAAAAATTAAAATGTCTCTGTAATTGAATTTCTTGCTTAAACCCTGTCTTTTCCACATCATTGTCTCTGATTAGATATCCTTTGGTAGTGTGTACTTTTATTATCTCTTGGGTGTCTGTCTGCCTAGTGGTATAGCTTTAAAGGATTTTATACTTTGGCAAATCCAGGTGAGTCACTGGGGCACTGGATTGGAACAACTGGTCTCCTTTTAAGTTTCAAGAAAAACAATGTGACTTCAGAGCATTTCTGAACTCATCTACACCACACATAATCCTCAGAGTCTCGCATTAGAGCCCAGCTTATCAAATGTGGTTCCCTGGCCTTGTTTATGTTAAAGGCCCCATATGACCCCATCACCATCACCACCTTCTCAAGTCTTCCTGAACCTTCTCCAATCTTGTCCTTCCCTCCCCATCCAAGCGTTCTTTTTCTTTCTTTTTTTTGTAAGTGGCAGATCTTAGCTCTCCTTCCACCAGTCCATTGCCATGATTCACCCTATCCAGGACTTGTCTTGGAATTCTCCAAAAAGCAGCAGCCTTCTCAGGCCAACCATGTATTTGGCATCCTTACTGTTAGGTATATTGTTCTCGTGTATGTTGTACCATGGCCAGCAGCTTGAATCTTCAAGAATGAGATTATTAATATGCACATCTCCCTTGCCATTATCTAATATAATTTTCCACAGTCAACTGGTATTCCATAAACATGTGAACTAAAATAATGTGATTCTCAAAATATTCAATAGACATATTAATGCACAAGTGCTATTTCTTAAAACAGGGTCTGGTTTGTGGATCTACTTCCAAACACAGTAAAATGACGATGCAGGTAAATGAGAAGAGTGAAAAGTAAAACAGACTGATGAGCCACCACGTTGCTTAGCCTGTCCCTGCTAATCCTACAGCTTCTTGCCTAGTAGTGGGAGGAGTTCCCATGGGGTAAGTATGTGCTGTTTGCTAATGGTACCGTGGGTCATTTATCCTGAAAGATGGAAGCTAATATTTATTAGTAGCATTCTGCAGAAAAAATAAGACTTTTAAATGCTATATTCTAGAGTCACATCTCAAGTGGAATATCTGCTTTGTAAAATCAAAGGATGGGAGAAGGGTGAGAGGAAAGCACGTGAAAAAGAAAAATCATGGAGTCACATTTTTCAGAGCTCCATCCAATAAAGTCTGCCTCTGTGATTGTGTAGCTGTGTGGTGCCTCCCTCCACCACCACTGCCCAGTGCTCTCCTCAGCTCCCTGGGAGGCTCTTGTTCCATTGGAAAGGAAGGCTAGGCTGATAATGGCCCACATTGGAATCCCAGACTGGGGAACGTCCTTGGTAGCTGAGTTGTTTCACCTATATTACATCCCTTGTCACAACAGAGCTGACATAGGGGTGCCAAGCCCAGAGTACCCCTGCCTACCTTCTATATGAGGAATACTGTTGGAGGGCACTGCAGCTTCACAGCTGCCTCATGGCATCAGTAGAGGCTTCCTTAACAAGAGCCCAGCTCATGCTCCCCAGCTGCCTTTCTTCTTCCCTTCTTCACCACTGTTGTTACTGAAAGTTCTCACCCCCAAAATCTACATGTGAATCTCTGTCCCTGAGGCTGCAGCATCTTCCCTGTTCCCCACCCAGATGCCCCCTCTGCTCTAAATGATGGTCCTCCTTGCCCCTCTCTCTTATGTTTTAAGCGTTGATCATTTATTTTGAAAGACAGAAAGACACGTGGAGGGAGATCTTCCACCTGCTGAGTCACATCCTAACTGCTTACAAAGGCCCAGGTTACGCCAGCTTAAAGCTGGAAATTTGAAACTCCATCCTGATCTCTCGTGTGGGTGATGGGGGCCCAAACACTTGGGGCATCTTCCACCTGCCTTCTTAGGCACATTAGCAGGGAACCGGATCAGAAGTGAAGCAACACTGCCATAGGGATGCGGACATTGCAAGCTTAACATGTGGCACAACAACTCTTATCTCTCACCCCATTAAAAATCCAGAACCTAGACAGCTTCTCCCTTCCTCTCCTCGCTGTCACACTCAGCTTTCAGGAAAGGACTTGATAAATGAAGTCATGAAAAGGAAACAGCAAAATTAATATATTGACACCTGAGATTCAAAAATAAGCTAAGGGTTACTTTGAGCCAAAGGAAGGATATGAACAGCAAAATTCCAGATAGTTGTTTACTTAGGAAAACCTATATCTTTAGTGTTGGTTGCAACCTGGGGAGAAGACAGATGGTTTTCAGTGAGGGGGTGATGTTAACAAATGATTTTAGCAACCCCCGGGATCTTTGTTGTCTCCTTGTCCAGAACTCATAAGGGTGTGTCTGCTTTGAGCTGATTTCAGAGCATAACTAGAAGTGAACACATCTCCATACCACAACATCAATTCCCTCCACTTCTCCAGGAGCAAATAAAATTCTAATCTCTTCATATGGAGCTCATTTCCCCAGGAAACTTAAAAGAAGAAGCAATCAGTCCCTCTGCTACCGAAGTCAAATGAACACCAAAAGCTTTTTGAAGACAACAGGGAATGGTTCGTTCGGGGGAGGCAGTAGCCTTTTCAAGTCAGGCTCCCCTGATAGTCACCAAAGGTGTACTGATTCACCTTGGGATGGGTACAAGACAAGGACACAAGGGAAACATTCCCTGGAGGGCTTTTGGCCACACAAAACTCACTTAAGTTGCAGGATTCTCTATATAAACTGAAGAAAGAAAAAAGACTTAAGACGCTCTTTCCACTTTTATCATATCACAAAACCACATACTGGGGTTGCTGTTTGCCTTGTCACAGATAAGTACTTAGAGTTATGAGGCATAGGCTCTGGGGGATAAACAAGACATCAGAGACTCAAGGACAGAGAATCTTCCTCTCCACTTACTTGTGTTATCTTTCTAGGAATCCCAGTACAAGTTACTTAACCTTTCCTTAAGCCTCAGTTAAAAGTGTGAGATGAATCAATACAAGTTCATTCTCCAGTCTGCAAACAGGTATAATCAATAAGATACACAAAATTATCTACCTACGTTGTTCATTAATAATTCCCAAAGATATTAATTCTCTCTTTGGCAGCACAAATGTAGCTCTTCAAAATTCAGCAGATGCGTTTTTATTAATGAAAAAAATCATATGTGAAATACTGAGGAGAGAGTTCTGAATACATACATACGCGCATACGTACATATATACCAGAAATGCTAAGTTCAGAAAATAGTGACTTACTTGAAATGATGCAAGAAGGGGCTTTCAGGTGTGACCTAAAGATCTGGGGTCATTTACCTTGATATACTGCCGCAGATGACTGAGCATGGTTGAGTGTTGTGCAAGTACTGAATGGCTCTGGATATGCCCACTAATATACTGGTTCGAACATCCCAAGAGAGTGGAGTCATGCCATCCTAAAAAAAATGACAACAGTTGGTTTGGTTGTGCTTTGTGAATAAAAGTCATTGAACATTATTTGTATAGAGATATCCCGAAACAAACAGGTGGCAAGTTAAGCCTGCTGAAAATATATCTTGGCTTGTCACAATCTACTTTTTCAAATTCAAGATTTAGAGTGATAACTAGACACAGATATATCCCCCGTCTGCTGGTTTATCTCCAAATGCCTGTAATAGCTGAGACTGGCTGAAGCTGAGAGACAGGAACTCAGTGCAGGTCTCCCACGTTGGGTGGCAGCTGTCCAACCACTTGGACCATCACTTCTGCCTCCTAGGGTCTACACTGGCAGAAACTGGAGTCAGGAGCTAGCACCAGGTATTGAACCCAGACGGTCCAATGCACAATGGGATCTCTTAGCTCAGTGTTCTAATGCCTAGGCTAATATCTACCCTGCCACCATCAACTTTTAATTCCAAACGGGCTTCTCTGTATCACCAGCTATTCTTCTAGGCTTCTTGATAGCAATGGCTAGCAGGGTGACACTATTTAAAATTTCATTAAGTAAGATTTTGAAATTATCAGTGGCAGAATAGTGTGGGTGACTGAAAAAAAATCTGGTTTATTGTCATCTGGAACTGAAAGTTCATTCTTTGAAAACAATTTTGAAATGTACTGATCAAAAACATTTTACAAAAAAATCATAGACTTTTCGTTTCTGCCCTTCATATTAAATGATACACTGTATAAAGTTATACAAATTAAAATTATCTGGAAAATAAGGGCAGATGATGTGAACCCAGTAGAAGAATGAAATCAATAAGGAATAGAACCTAGTAAATCTTTTGATAATGTTATACAGAACACCACAATTCTGGTTTTAATGTAGCCTCCTACTGGTAAGAAATTATTTTACAGACAGTGTTTCTACTTCCTTGGGAAAGCCACTCTTGGCCATCCCCTCATGCCCTCTCAGCTCTCTCAAAAGGGTTCAGCAGTTCCCTTGGAGTGCCAGAGGGTCAGAGGATGGGACAGAACAACAGGCATGACTTACCATACAGTGTAATCTGCCCAAAAGTGTTCCGTTTCTCATGTATGGATATACCAGACAGAACTGATCGGCCTCTGCAAAATATGCAGCCAATTCCAGTATGTTTGGGTGACGAAACCTTGAACAAGAAGATTGGTAAAGCCACCACACTGTTTAATCAAGTTCAAAACACACAATGTCTTTGGGGATTACAAGATGGGAGTAAGAAAAAGACTGGCATACAAGATAAATTTGGCCAGGGACATTGTCATTAGACAGGTGATGCGGTTTTGTGTTCCACACTGTTATAAAGAATTCTAACAAATACTTGTTACTTTTTTTTTTATCTTGACCATATAAAGATAAATAAAATACACAAATAATATAAGACATAAAATTTAAGAAACTAAAGACTTTTAAAGGTTTTGGCAGCTGGGAACTTCATGAAATATAGGCAACAGTATTTGATGTTAACCTATTATTATCATTATAAAACACAAAATGATTTGTACATTAAATAAAGATAAAATATCTGAAATTGTCCATTTGATGAACTGACGTGTACATGTTTACGTGAAGTGAAAAATATCTGCAGACTGAATGCTGCTTCCATTCAACTACTTATTGAGCACTATTATGTCAGGTACTGCAAGAGGCACCAGTCACACAGCAGAAAACATCAGTATCTTTACAAAGATTGAGCTGACAGATTTAATCTATATGGTTAGTCAAGTTTGACATGGAAAAACCTATCATTCATCTTCTATTAAAAAAAACAACAACAACTGTATTTTGGGACCAGCATCATGGCATAATAAGCTCAGCTTCAACCAACAACACTGGTATCTCATATAAGCACCAGTTCAAGTCCTGGCTGCTCTGCTTTCAATCCAGCTACTTTCAAACACACCTGGTAAAGAAGCAAAAAATGTCCAGAGTTTGCGGCATCCTGTCATCCATGTGGGAGATGAAGTCCCAGGTTCCTGGTTTTGAACTGACCTAGACCTGGCTCTTGCAGCCATTTGGAGACTAGACCAGTGGATGAACAATCAATCAATCAATCAATCCAATCAATCTCTGTTTAGCTAACATACACAACCACACTTTCCCTCCCTCTCTTCCTGCAACTCTGCCTTTCAAATGTTTAAAAAAAAAAAAAAAAAACTAAACTAAACATCTGGCCAGCATTGTGGCATAATGGGTTAAGCTGATGTCTGAATTGCCATCACCCCATACAGGCACTAGTTCAAGTCCCTGCTATTCTACTTGTGGCCCAGTTCCCTGCTAGTGTGTCTGGGAAAATAGTGGAACAAGACCCAAGTGCCTGGGCTTCTGATGCCCATAAGAAAGATCTGGATCAGGCTCCAGGCTTCTGGCGACCCAGCCTTGGCCACTGTGGCCATTGGGGAGTGAGCCAATGGATGGAAGATCTCTCTGTCTCTTCTTCTCTCTCCATCCTCCCTCTCCCCCACAAGTCCTTATTTCAAATAAATAAAATAAACAATAACAAACCCCTATGTTTTGTTTGGAAGGTAGAGAGACACACAGAGAGATCCTTCTGCTGGTTTACCCTGAAATAACAAGGACTGGCACAAAACCAGGAGACTGGAACTCAAGCCCATGTAAGTGGCAGAGTCCCTGAACTATCAACCTGCTGCCTCCCAGCGTGCATAACAGTAGGAAGCTGGAGTCAGAAGCAGAGCTAGGACTCCAACGAAAGCACTTTCATACAAGATGTGGGCATCGCAGGCAGCATCCTTATAGCTGGGCCACGCACCTGCTCCATTATCAACTGACTTTAAACTGCAGATACCCATGTCAATACAACATACATTTCTCAGGCTCCTTTCCTAATCTTCATTTATTAACAAAAATTCTATTCCTTGAATGTGTGTGTCATCATTATGAAGACCAATAGAACCAAAGTGACAACTACAAAGTAAAGATTATGAAATAAGTGCGTATTGTGAACTCAATTAAAGACAATAATCATTCAGTGTACATCTATTATGTCCTGGATATAGTTGTGGGTATTAAAATTAATAAATATGTCAAATATAATATTTATAAAGTTATACCGTTTGTTTCTTTAGTAGTAAAACTTTATTCTACCTTTATGTGTATGTGTGCTTTCCAAGTATTTATATGTATGTGTGTGTGTGTGTGTGTGTGTACTTTAGAAAGTTTCTGAGAAAATGAAATTGGTATGTCTGTTCTGATGCAAAAAAGGTTGGCTTTTCTGCATGCGTATATGTACTCACACACGTGTGCATGAACACGTGAGGATGCCTCCGAAGGTCTGTGGGAAAACGGAGCGACAAGCCATGCTACATTCTTTTCAAATATCTGCATAGCTTTTTTTTAATAATATTAATTTCCATGAATTTTCTGAAGGTCCTTATACATACATGTATAAATACATAGACGACTTTTAGCTTTAAATAGACCAAATGGTGTCTTGGGAGATTGGGCAGCAAAATGGGCTTTTTCAAAGAAGAAACATCTAACCTGACGCCTGAAGCACAACGTTTTTACTTAACATTAAGGATACCACCTGAAGAATTCTAAGTTTCTCAGACTATGGCTTCTTTTTTTTTAAAAAAAAAAAATTGTGATATGTATTTATTTACTTACTTACTTATTTTTCTCACGATACAGTTCCTTTCCCACCCTTAGGGATTTCCTCTTCCTCCCTCTCCAATTACCGTCCCCCCAACTGCCTCCCCCTGTATCAATACAATAATACAGTCCTTCAGCAATAGCCACAAGTCCATCATGCTTCTAGTTAAATGCATCATGACACTGCAGGTATAGACGATGGTAGTAACTATGGCTTCTGACCTTTCCCCCGCTTCTTCCTCAGGCAAGAGAAGCTAATAATTTCTGAGGATCTGGTGCTTGCCTACAGATTTAATCTTTTATTTCATTTTTCAACAAGAACCTTGGAAAGCAGATGTTCTAATTTCTGCTTTCGGTTGAAGAAATAGGCTCAGGGAAAAGAACTAACTTTCCCATATTCACACAGTTGATAGAATAACCAGAGGTTCCAACCAAAGTCTGTCCTAGCTCCATTCGGTCTGCTCTACCACCTGTGCCTTGCGTTGTTCATCTGCAGCAAGCACTTATAAATGCCTGCTGAACCAGCTTTAAGGGACATCAGATCTGTCTAAATCTTCAGCTTTTTATTATGCAAAATCCTGCTGATTTAACAGGTTGTAGCCAAAGAAAAGTTGGTATGGGTGTGTAGGCTTACCAATATTTTTACTTCATGTTCCCCTGTTCCCTACCACAGTAACTTCTAAAGTACCCATTGCTGTATTCGATCAGTCTTATTTAAAAATAGGCAAATGATCATTTTTTGCTCAATGAGCCAAAGAGCAGAGTACCAGAAATGGATGTGTCTAGACGATATCTGTTTTTTCTGGTTTTGAATTATTTTTCCCAGAAAAACCAAGCAGACAGTGAAGTAGCTCAACTGTTTAAGAACCTGAAGACAGCATCTTGATATAATTTCCATCTGCTGCTTTTCATTTTACATATATGGTCTGAATCAGAGTAGGTGAGGGATTTTGTATCACAGATTTTGGTATATTTCCATCCTGCCATTTAACTCATTTACTGAAACTGCCTGTGTATCATTGCACTTTTCTCCTCCTCTCAATTCAGGCAGCATCTTCTGAGAGAAGGCTGTCTCTACCGGGATGTCTGACAAGCAAGAGAGTGAACACAAGACAGAAAATACGTATAAAAAGCATATAACACCTGCATCTTCATCTTCAAAGTGAGGAAAACACAGAACTTACTTCATAGGATTAGATAGAAGATAAACAAATTAAGACATGTAATACATTTTGGGACATATTCAATAGTAAATTAATAGTAGCACAACAGAAAATAATAATGGTATTCCAGGAACCATTAACATCATGAAGCTGCTGGCTCCCTAACTAACACATAAAGTAAATTCAACACTATTAAAAATATCAACAAGATGGATGCTGCACAGTCGTCTAGTAGCTAAAGTCCTTGCCTTGCATGCACCTAGATCCCATATGGGTGCCAGCTCATGTCCCGGCTGTCCCGCTTTCCATCCGGCTCCCTGCTTGTGGTCTGAGAAAGCAGCTGAGGATGGCCCAGGGTCTTGGGACTCTGTGGGAGACCCAGAAGATGCTCCTGGCTTTGGATTGGCTCAGCTATATCTGACTTTCCAATTAAAAAAAAAAAGAAATTATTTATTTCTTATTTAAAAAAAAATTCCAGACAATCTGCTGCTGTTACTCATATGAAAAACACCTCATAAGATAAAACAATCTGATGCACAAATGTCAAAGATAAAACTATAAAAGTATCAGTCATGACTGAATGTTGAATTATAGCCAAATGCACTGTCCGTGCCTATCGAGATGATCATGTGATTTTTTTAAAAAACAGATTTACTTATCCTTATCTGAAAGGCAGATTTACAGAGAGGAGGAGAGATAGAAACAGAGATATCCTGTACCCGCTGGTTCACTCCTCAAACAGCCACAACAGTCAGAGCTACTGATCTGAACGCAGGAACTTTGTACTCTCACATCTGACTGGTCTAAATATAAAACTGGCATTAGACTACCGATGCGTATTACGGATACATACAAACATCTGATGCAACAAATTCATTTCTAAGAATTTATCTTGGGCCCAGCGGCGTGGCCTAGCGGCTAAAGTACTTGCCTTGAACGCGCCCAGATCCCATATAGGCATCAGTTCTAATCCTGGCGGCCCCACTTCCCCTCTAGCTCCCTGCTTGGGGCCTTGGAAAGCAGTCAAGGACAGCCCAAAGCCTTGGGACCCTGCACCCGTGTGGGAGACCTGGAGGATGTTCCTGGCTCCTAGTTTTGGATCGATGCAGCACCGGCCGTTGCAGTCACTTGGGGAGTGAATCATCGGAAGGAAGATCTTCCTCTCTGTCTCTCCTCCTCTTTGTATATTTGCCTTTCCAGTAAAAATAAATAAATCTTTAAAAAAATTTATCTTACAGATATACTCAAACAGGTACAAACTCAGTCACAAAAATTTTCAAAAATTTCACAAAATTTTAAAAAGAACAGAAAAATCTAAAAATTCTTTAATCATTCCAGTTAATAATAATAATAAAATATAGAAAACAAAAATGAAGAACACATAAATGAAGCACAATCAGAGAATAAAATACACACTCTCCTATGTGGTAGCTTTCTGTAAATACAGACCAGAACCTGATAACAGCGCTGCTTTGACAAGTCAGCTCCGAGACTGGAAGACAGCAGTGGGAAACAATGTTTTCTCGGCTTACCTTTCTATACTTTTGGGACTTTGAAATATCTGAATTGTACTTTTGCAAGCAAAAACAATAAAAACAAACCTTTAAATGTAAAACTCTTCTATTACAGTTTTGGATTTAGTTTATTATTGCCTGATAAAATGTTTTTATGATTAGCTTCTAATATTTTGACCTCTGATCCTGCATATATGAGCAAAGATATTCAGCTTGGTGGTATAATGCCTGCTCTCCCCATCTCTCTCCTCTTCCTTACATATCAGTCCAGAAAACATCTGAAAAGAACCCCTTTATTTGTAAGGGCTGATGAGTGATCGCCATCGGGTTAGGGCCCTCCAACGAGGAAGACAGCACGGCTGCACGTAAGAGTACAGATGAGAGGGAAGTCATTTTAATTTGTCTCCAAGGACTCTCAGACTCATGAATGAATTCCCAAAAAATAATGTACACATCAAAAGCACTTGATTTTTGTATAAAACTCTCTTCCTGGGGAGAGGTGAATGGATGAAGCAGGTTCTAGACTGGGAGGTCTTTAAGGAAGAGGGGATATAGTGAAGTACATATACTCCTAATGTCCATTCACATTAGTCTCCCTGATTTAACCCACTTCCTTGTGACAGCTTCTTGTAAAAATATGTCCAAGAGGGGCCCGGCAGGGTGGCCTAGTGGCTAAAGTCCTCATCTTGAACACACTGGGATCCCATCCAGCTCCCTGCCTGTGGTCTGGGAAAGCAGTGGAGGACGGCCCAAAGACTTGGGACCCTGCACCCGCGTGGGAGACCTGGAAGAGGTTCTTGTCTCCTGGCTTCAGATGGTCGCAGCACCAGCCGTGGCGGCCACTTGGGGAGTGAATCATCGGACGGAAGATCTTTCTCCCTGTCTCTCCTCCTCTCTGTATATCTGACTTTCCAAAAAAAATTTTAAAAATAAATCTTAGGGCCCGGCGCGGTGGCACAGTGGTTAAGGTCCTCGCCTTGCACGCCCAGGATCCCATATGGGCGCCTGTTCTAATCCCGGCAGCCCTGCTTCCCATCCAGCTCCCTGCCTGTGGCCCGGGAAAGCAGTCAAGGATGGCCCAAGGCTTTGGGACCCTGCACCCGTGTGGGAGACCCGGAAGAGGCTCCTGGCCTCAGATTCGCATAGCATCGGCCGTTGTGCTCACTTGGGGAGTGAATCATTGGACAGAAGATCTTCCTCTCTATCTCTCCTCTCTGTATATCCGCCTTTCCAATAAAAATAATAAAATAAATCTTTAAAAAAAATAAGTAAATCTTAATAAAAATACGTCCAAGTGAATTGCGTAAATGGTCTATTTTAAAATATACTTTAAAGAGTACAAAAGAGCAGATGTCAAAATATGTACCCAGGGTTCTAACATTCAACCCCAATTTATTAAATGCTAGCCATACCAAGTTCTGTCTCATAAAATCAAAAATGAACAAAGATGAAACAGAAGAACAAAGGAGGGGAAACTGCAGATAAAATATACTTACAATAGTAAAACTTCCAGCTCAGATAAAAACTTTTTCCACTGTTTCTTGCATTGCATCTTTTTCTCCTAAATACACAAAATGAAAAGAAAAAACAAACAATTAAGAGAAGGACTTGTATTTCTAGAATTTTTAACAAAGTATGTATAGTCTTTCCAAAATTAAATGAATTCTTTGTTAGAAATGCATATGAACATTTTTCTAGGAAAAGGACCCTCAGTTTTCAAAAGGTTTTTAAGAAAATCTAATTAGTCTCCGGCCTGGCACAATGGCCCAGTCGCTAAATCTTCATTTTGCACACACTGGGATCCCATATGGGCACCGCTCCCAGCTACTCCACTTCCCATCCAGCTCCCTGTTTGTGATCTGGGAAAGCAGTGGAGGACGGTCCAAAGCCTTGGGACCCTGCACCCACGTGGGAGACCTGGAAGAGGTTCTTGTCTCCTGGCTTCGGATCAGCTTAACTTCAGCCATCGTGACTACTTAGGGACTGAACCAGCGGACAGAGGATCATTGTCTGTCTCCTCTCCCTGTAACCTGCCTTTCCTAAAAAGATAGACAAATCTTTTAAAAAGAAAAAAAAATCTATTAGCCTCAAAATAGATTTATAGTTAGGGCTTTCAAGTAAAAAAGATTTTCATTCTACACATGAGGTTGCCAAATTTCATTTTCAAGCTTTCATCATATTTTCACATATTTGCACAATTTAAAAATATTAGATATATTCAGTGAAACCCTTGAAAAATTGCCTACTTGATCCCACAGATAATCCAATTTGTATTTTCTCTATGTTCCCACAAATTTTCACTAATTTGGCTAGAGTCATACGGAGATGTTTCCAGTTCATCTTGTATTAAGTTTGAAAAGATGGGCTTCTTCAGCAAATGAAATATAACTCTTCATATCAGGGAAGCTTTGGAAGTTAACCAACAGCCCGACATGCGAATGTGGAACAGACTTCATACTCTACTGAGCATCTATACTCTTCCTCATGCTGTTCTTGATGCTTTCACACAGTTTACGTCATTGTACGTCCCTGGATCTCAAGTTTCTAACTTATACCAGGAAGGAGTTAAAGTGCACTCCTAGGTCTACCAGCTGCAAGATTCTGTCATCTGCTCTGAGAGCAGTGTGCTTACAGTTTGGTTTTCGGGAATAAAAGGAGAGAAATTCCACAGGAATTCTGGAAGTTACTGTCCAAGTTAAGCCAGAAAGAGACAATAGATCAGGCTAATAAATCATTTTCCAGGAGGTATTCTGCTAGAAGTTACATTTCACAAGATGACAACTCTTGCGCACAAGTAAACTGGGTCTCTGGTCCATTTCTAATACTTGCTATTTGTGCCTCATTATCAGTCATTCAATTTCCCTAAAGTTACAGTATTCTTAATGTGAAAAGGGGGCTCAGGTATGCTAACCTAGCACCCTAACACCTGGTGGTTAAAGTGTGGGCTTTGCACAAACAACTCCGGCCATCCTGGAGCCGGTGAGAATGCTGCATCTTCTCTGCACTCTGCTCAGATCTGAGGAGTCAGAATCCGCACTGCGAAAGGATAGCCAGGTGATGAGGCGCACGGCACAGCTCCAGAAGCACAGATCACCTCTCTTCGTCTCTTCAACAAAGTTAACTCAAGACAACGTCCCAATGTTCCAAGATTATTTTCCCCCTGTGGCTAAGGCTCCATTAAATGATCTCATCTTTCCCTTAAAGTACATGTGTCTTTGTGTGCATGTTCATGTACACTTATGCTGGACTGGAAAAGGAGCAGACAAAAACCACATTTCATCACCTAAAGAGACAGTTAAAATGCAGAGTGGGGCCAAGACATTAGGACTAGGACTTTGTACATTCCTCTGTTGTTTCCACGTATTTTTATGCCTAGTGAATACCAGCCATCTTGAAAAGGGTAGGTATCATTCATTCAATTTATCTAACAAACATGTACTGAACAGTAACTATGGACCCAGCCTCAGAATAAGACATTAGGAAACCAACTTAAATCACAGCTCTTCAAAGACAGACACCCAGTGTGTTGGTGGAAGCAAACGAGGGAACCGTGGTCTTGTGATAATTCAGAGTCTGGTGGTACATACGGGAGGGTCTCAAGGTTAGGTTGGAGAAGCCAGAGATAGTCAGGGGAATAATTCTCATCTTGGGACAAAAAGGGAAGGAGATCAAGAAGAAATGACACCTCATTCTAAAGCTAGACTCAAGGAAATAAAATTCTGAAAGGGATTATGATCTGGGGGCAGCTTCAAAGAGAAGTGGAAAGTAGGTTACATAGGCCTTCTGAAGACATGACAGATCATAAGAGGCTGTACAAACAGGTCCAGGAGCATGCGGGCACAGATTTCCATTCAGTCACCTCTAAAGCAACAGCATTTCATTTGTTGAATGGTTTGGCCAGGATACTGTTTCTTTTTTAGACTATTCATCTCAGGAATACAGAGATGTGGTATAAAATGCAACATGGGGACATGGAAATATTGCATTAATCATTTTATTGGCTTTGTAACATAAGCTATAAACTAGGAATCACTTTAGATCCCTTTCTTTCCTCCACGTCCCCGTCATGGCCAACAAGACACTAGATTTGGATCCTTTCAAAACAGCTCCTGAGTTTTCCTCCTTAATTCCACACTAACCCAGCTTATAGCTAAAGTTCCCAACACTAACTACACACGTGAATCCCTGATGCCTTCCGTCACCACTCTGCCTTAGCAGGTTGGTATGAAGCTAGTTTTTGGTTGTTTTTATTTGCAAGGCAGAGCAGAGAGCATGCTCTCCCATTCAGTGGATTACTCTTCAAATGTCCACAACGTGAAGGGCTGAGCCAGGCCACAACTCTGAGTCAGGAACTCAGTCACTTGACTGGTCACTGCTACAATAGTGAAATGGAGTTAGGTACACTCACCTGGGATGTGGGCATCTTAAATTCTTCGCCAAATGTCTGCCCTTGAGATTAGTTTTTAAAAAGATCCCTCAATGATTCCAATACACAGTTAAGAGTTGAAACCATAATTTAAGCTTTCTCATTCCCTAGACTACATGGCTGAAACACTTCTGTACTGTCTTTCTGCTCAGTTTAGTTCTTTTCCCCAAACCGTTAAATTCCAATCCATCTTCTAACCTGTCATCAAAATTATACTTTAAAAAAAAAAAAACAACAACTAAGATTTCCAGTCTCCTACTTAAAAACCTTCCCCATATTTAACCTACCTTTCCATCATCTACAACCACTCCACTCACTTCCCTGGATGAACTGGCATTCATGAGCAAGATCGCTTTTCATCCATGTAACTTCACGCCTTTGTACCTGCTACTAGTTCTAAGCAAAAGATACTTCTGGTCCTTAACTATTGATCAATACTCTCATTCACCAAAACCCAGTGGAAAGGTCACTTCCTTCTATTAATTTTCCCATTGGCTTTCAAAAAATGTTTAAAGATTTTTTTATTATTATTTATTTTTTTTTATTGGAAAGGCAGATATACAGAGAGGAGAGACAGAGAGGAAGATCTTCCACCCGATGATTCACGGGCCCTCAAAAAATGTTTGCTGATGTGATAGTTTGTGCCAGATAGTCTTCTGGGAGCCAGACACACTGTTCCGCTGTTATCATGTACATGCTCCCTTGACTTTCACACCAATCTCTGATAAAGCATGTTTCTCACGACAGTTTAATCTTTAGTTCATCTGACTAGTCCTCCTGATGACTATTAGCTACTGGGGATACAATGATGGTTTATTCATTTCACCCATGCTCAGATGCCCAGCCAGTAGGAGTTCAGTAAATACTCTTTGATTGTTGACTGACAAAGAAGAAAATTAAAAATAGCTCTTTTGTCTCTGGGTGGTTACCTATCTCTTACCGATTTCTGAGTAAAAGCACTTGAGCACAACCAGACCCCCGCAAGCAAAGTTTCAGGGGTCGGAAAGGCTATTCTTACAAATCTTTCTCATGTTAATGCGTCATGGATGGGTGAGATTTAACTTCTACATCCTGTAAAACAGGCCTTTGTATCTCAGCCATTTTTCTACTCACTTGAAATTGCACATCTTATGTGCATTCATGAAGTTTTATTTTCATATTTGCCTATTTTCAAGGATGATGAAAAATGATACATTTTAATATGAACTATGACCAAATAAACAAAATTGATATCCTTTGATAGTAATTTTTTCCATACCTGTTTAAATAATTTCACAGCATATGTTCGGCTCTGAATCTCCACTCTATATACTTCGAAAATCTCTCCTTCTCCAATCAGGAAATCTTCATGGAAATTTTTGGTTCCTTCTACAATATTCTGAAAGCTGATGGAGGATTTAAGCAATATTCCTTAGCAAGGAAAACAGAGGAAAGATAAGTTAACTTTTCTCTTTTTAAGCATCAACATCACTATTACAACCAGGACTTCAATATTATATTTACAAATTCATCTGAGAGGCCGATCTTTGGTGTAGGGGTTAAGATGTCGCATGGGATGTCTGCATCCCATATCAGAAGCCCTACTTTGAGTTCTGGTTCTACTCCAGATCCTGTCTTTATGCTAATGCACCTCCTAGAAGGTAGCAGGGCAGGGTCAAGAATTTGAATCCCTGTCACCCAGATGGAACTCCAGCTTCCAAGGATTGGCTTTGCCCAAGCCATGGCTTTTGCGTATTTGGGGAATAAACATCTGCATAGACGATATCTATCTATCTCTATCCCTATAATTTCTAAGAAGAAACACATCAAGGTCCAGTGGAACATCAATAGAGGAAGGTCCAAGAGCCCAAATGGAAGCCCAACACATGTTTTTGGCATTTACTTGGGTTAGACTTCCAGCGTTACACAGAGCAAATGATTCCTTAAATTCTTAAACAATAGCATGTAATATGAAAAATTACTTGGGGAAATTATCTTAAGATTCTGCTCCTTATTATTAGGCCAACATGTTACTGTTGACCCATTTTTAATCTAAAACCACTAAAATACTATGGAAATGGAAATCTTGGTATAATTCAATAAAATTCTCCAAGCCTGCCTAGTAGAACCACTTTTCATTAGCTTAGGTTGAATTCTTCTTCAGAGTAAATCAGAAAGATATTTCAGCTTAAAAACAAGCAAAAAGAAAAACATCCAAACAGAAATTTGAAATACTAACCACGAAGGAAAAGCTTGGTTAGATCCTTGCGAGACTAATTTTGACTGTAATGCCACAGCAGATAAGAAACATTCTAAGATATTTAATGTCTTATTACTGAAGCAACAAAAGCCTATCTAACTTCTAATTGTCTTTTCAAAGAAGCATCAGATCTACTGAGAGAGATTGGGTAAGACATCCTGAAATCGTCTTTAGAATTTACAGAGAGATGACCAGGCAGTAGTTCTTCCTTTAAAAACGAAACTAAACCAAACCAAACCAAACCAAAACAAAACAAAACAAGATAAAAAGAGCTAATTTGGAAAATAACTTTTTATAATGACTCAGCATTTTTCTATAATCATCTTGAACTATTTCTACTGTGGCTATGACAATTTTTGATGCTATATAAAACCTGACTAAATTTAAAAAATATTTTCTTAAGACACACATAAATTGCAAATTTTATTAATCACAACAAAAATATTATTTATGTAAAAAGACCACAATTATGATCTTCATTAACCAACTTTTTAAATTTTTGAGAGCTCCCCCCTATTGTTAGATCACTCCCCAGATGCCCACCGTGCCCAGGACCGAAGCCAGGAGCTCTCCCCGGGGTAACAGGAACACAATCATCTGGGCTGACAGGAAGATGGATTCAGTGTGTGTAGCCAGGAAATGAACCCAAGTTTACTTTAACTGGCATTGCAACCATCAAGCCAAAAGCCCGCCCCCTAGCCGATGGATTTTTAACATAGTAATAATATGTCATCTATCAGCACTGTATCAATCAAAATTGAAAATGCTTTGACATCTATGAACATTTTATTCTAAACAGGACTAGAAATGATTCGTGTGTTCATCAGAGTTCCTCCCCTTAACTTCACTTAGATAAAAGCAAGATTTTAAAACGTCCTTGTTTTTACCTTTTTTATTATGCTCAGGAATAAGAACATTATCCACCGTGACACTGGTTGCTTCCTGAGAGAAGAAATACATATACTAAAGTAATTCCATTTTGTAAATCTAGAAGGAACACAGCTTCAAGAGAAACCCAAAGCTCTCCCTGGGACTACAGAGTGAGACAGAGCAGAAACTACTTTAGGAGAAACCTAGCAGAAAGTAAAATTATTTCACTGTACTTAATAGCATTTACTGCTACTTATACATGCATACTTACAGCCTCATATCAACCATAAAAACCGAAATATCAATGCCATAGTTAGTGTTAGCCAATTTAAATGATTTCTAATGCTATAAAAATGATCATTGCTAATTTGCTCTAATAAAAACGAACAGCAACACCCAAAAGACCAAGCAGAAAAGCTGAGTTGGGACAAATGCATAACGTATATTACCCTTAGCTATAAATGTCATCTCCTGACAGGTCACTGGGAGGGAAAGCTATAGCTTTTTAAACAGCTACAAATCTCTAATTTCCTAAAACCTTAACTACATAAAGAAAAAAAGAGAACTGAAGCTTTTGCAGTTTTTAAAAAAGTTTTTGCAAATCCAGCATTTTCTTTTGGATATTACTCATTATGCTCAAATCCATAAGCAACAGGGTCCCACGGTCATTATCGATGCACACGCATTCTACCTTGGCTGGCATGTTTGCAAATCCCTTTTTCTGATGACCTTGCTTTGAGGGATGTGAGGCTGTGCCTGAAAGAAAAATAGAGGGAGCTAAACACAAAAAAAAACTTTAATGTTCCTAATAAGCATGATTTCCCCCCTTGGTGACACTGAAAATAAATACCTTGGTAGTAACATTCATTTCCAAAGCTTAGTGTCATTTCAATGGACTGACTACAAAATTACATATATGAAACAGGTTCCTTGTGATTAAATATAAAACAAATTTGTTGATTTAAAACATGAATGGCTCCTTTAAGCTACTGAAAATATTAAAGTACAAGGCAGAAAATTGAAATGATTAATACAAGTATTCTCAACTTTTGCAACTACATTTTAATTTTCTCCATGAAAAGACTGTTATCTCCTTAGTTTAATTAACTGTTTAAAAATGTTTTTATCTGAAAGGCAGAATTGCAGAGAGAATGAAAGACAGAGACACATCTGATGTCTGCTGGTTCACTCCCCAGAGGCTGCAGTGGCTGGAGACAGACCTGCCAAAATCCAGGCACCAAGAGCATCTGAAAAAATCCAGTACCCTGTAGTGATTTTTGAAAACCTTAGGATCATAAGGTAATTTGTTTTTTTTTTTCACAGTAAGACATGTATTTTACATTATCTATTTCATACATATCCCAAAAAAGTTTTACAAAGAGCTATTACTTTTGCATTAATGACATTGTTGATACTTTACTTTTTCCTTTTCTATTCATTTTTATTGAGATAATCCTTCCTCTATTAAAAAAATTATTGATTTATTTTCTGATACAGTGCCATAGGCTCTAGGACATCCCCTCCCCAAACCCCTCCCTCCACTGATTTCCCCTATATTACTGCAATAGCACAGTCCTTCCAAACAGTATGAAAAATCCACAGTTAACATTATATATTTAAAGGTGAAAGATCAAACGTTTCCCACCTACAAGCAGAAACATTACAGAGATGTCTAGTCTTACCACTTTCCCTTAATATTACAGTGAGTGATACAGCCAGAGTAATTAGGCAAAAAAAATTTATAAATGTCTCAAATATTGCCAAGTAGAAGAAAATTTGAAATTTGGGATTCATGAATAATCTGAAGACTCCTCACATCCATGGATTTTGAAAGTTTTTGCACCAAAACAAACTTACTTTTGAATTCCATTTTTCTACAAACTTTCTGATGTGTCTTCATTCAAATCATGTAAATGACTGTCTTTCCACCATTCAGCTAATCTCATAATTGAAAAGAACGAAATCAGTTTTGCATGTGTGACAGACGGGGAGTCAACCAAATATGTGAAAGTTTTGTCCACTTAAAGTACAAAACATTCTGTTACATAAACAAATGGAGAGTGTAAATATACCCCCAAATCTATTCCAGAACACTGAAGCATAAAACATCACTCACATGTCCCGTTAAACTGGTGTGCGTTTATACTGTGAACAGTAAGCCATGTGGGTGTTCGATGGTTGGAAAGGGCTTAGATAGTAAAAAGGCACTGCATATACAGTTCCCAGGGATTTATCAGTCTGCTTCAGAGTGAAGCGTTCTACTGCAGCAAACCAAGTACAAAAAAAAAAAATATATATATATATATATATATACACAGAGGACAAAGGGGATTAGCCAAACTGCACAGTTAATATCATGATGGAAACCTACTGGAAACCAATATCTCAATAATAAGAAAAATCTACAAAGTAAAAGTCAGTATGAATATACAGTTTTCTGATATAAATCTCTCAGGTTTTCTTCTTTGTATATAAAAGGTTTCTTTGGGTGTTACAGGAGAAGTTCATTTGTGCTAAGTATATTACATAAACAACATGTGTACAAACATACAGAATGGGGCCCGGCGCGGTGGCACAGTGGTTAAGGTCCTTGCCCTGCACACCTGGGATCCCATATGGGTGCATGTTCTAATCCCGGCAGCCCTGCTTCCCATCCAGCTCCCTGCCTGTGGCCTGGGAAAGCAGTCAAGGACAGCTCAAAGCTTTGGGACCCTGCATCCGCGTGGGAGACCCGGAAGAGGCTCCTGGCTTCGGATAGGCATAGCATCTGCCATTGCACTCACTTGGGGAGTGAATCATCGGATGGAAGATCTTCCTCTCTGTCTCTCCTCTCTGTATATCCGCCTTTCCAATAAAAATCAAATAAATCTTTAAAAAGAAAAAACAACAAATATACAGAATGAGAAGTAGACCCATTCTAGGGTGGGTAACTGGACCAGCAGCTAAATCAGCCCTTGGGATGTGGGTACTCCATATTGGAGAATCTGGATTCCAGTTTAGGCTCTGTTCTCAATGCCAGCTTCCTGATAATGCAGCCCAGGGAAGCAGCAGGTGCTGGTTCCCCTGCACAGCTTTCTGTTTGCATTTACAGATGACAATGCCTTCAAGACGGACTGGAAGTCACAGTATAAGAGTAAAGGCTTACCGTGGCTTGTAATCAAGTGGATTGCTCGATAATGGCCCATCTCCTGCAGAATCTGCAAGAGGTCTCCGATGGTCTTGTTTTTTTGGGCACAGGACCAAAGTAGCTCTCTTGTCCCACTTTTGCCTTGGTCTACATATTTCTCAATGAGACGAACATCTAGCCAACTGTTTGAAAGCCGTTCCGCTGTGGAAATTGCAATAGAAAGAAAGACAGTTTATTTTTTATTTTATTTTTTTAAAGAAGGAAAGATAGAAAGATCTTCCATCTGCTGGTTCACTCCCCAAGCAGTCGCAAGGACCAGAGCTGAGTTGATCCAAACCCAGGAGCCAGGAGCTTCTTCCAGGACTCCCACATGGGTAAAGGGACCCAGGGATTTGGGCCATCTTCTACTGCTTTCCCAGGCCACAGGCAGGGAACTGGATGGGAAGCTAGGTGGCTGGGATATGAATCGGCACCCATAAGGGATCCTGGGTGTTTGCAAGCCAAGGACTTGAGCCTCTAGGCTACCATGCAGGACCCAACACAGTTCATTTTTATTGAAATGATTGTTATGTGTCAGATATTTTACTTAATTTTATTGATAACTTTATATTTTGAGCTAATTTAGTATATACTTCTCATCCACCTTCTGCAAATATGAACATTTACTATCCATAGTACAATGATCAGAATCAGTGATAACTACACTACAAGGCCATATTGTAATTTCACTAATGTACTTCTCTAGTTCTAATATTCTATTCAGTTTTCCATATTGCATTTAATTGTTTCTTCCCAATTTCCTCTAATCTCTGATGGCTCCTCTGGCCATGTTTATCAAAACAATGAGATGGTATTCTCTCCCTTTTAGTGCATAATATTAGCAAGGGTTCTGTAATGTTAATATCTTACCACCAGTATGGTTTATCTGATTAAAGAAAGGCTTGCAGAATTCATCTTCTCTGAAACTCTCTCTCCAGGTCTTCCATGTAGTCACGGGGTCCCAAGGCTTTGGGCAGTCCTCCACTGCTTTCCCAAGCCATGAGCAGAGAGCTGGTTGGAAGCAGAGTAGCCAGGACCTGAACTGGCACCCATATGGGATCTTGGCACATGCAAGCTGGGGATTTAGCCAATGAGCCATTGCAAGGGCCTGCTATCTCTCCTTTTATCACAAATAACCATAGTAGCAATTGGAACTAGGTCTTGATCATGGCAACACTCTGCTTCTTCTCAAATTGGGCCCACTAGTGCTTGTATCCACCAATGAGCCTCATTTATCACAATTATTACTGTAGTGTTTGCTTAATGATCTTCTATTTCCTTCCTATGCTCATTTAACTGTAAGTCTTCTGTAATAAAGAATTGACCCTTTTCCCACCTACATTTACTTCTTTATTCAAGTTTTTACTCACATAAGTATGGACTTATACAATCACTTACTGATTTTATTCTCTAGGTTGAAGTTCATACTAAGATTCTTTGTTTGGCGTTAAAATTGTAACAGCTTTCTTCACTTTGGTGCTTGTATTTATGAGTTCTGTGGATATTTTATTTTTTCTTTTTTGACCACTTCCCTATTTGCTGAGTCTACAAGGTTCTCTGGGTTCATTCTGTGTTTCCCCTTCCCAGCAATGTAATTACTTGTTTAAGGACTCCGGTCTTTTTTTATTGAACAATAGTACTGGATGTGCTCAGTTTTTTGAGCTTCTAGGCATTTCAACTAGAGCTAGTTAGCAAACAGATGCACAGGCACTAATTCATGCATCTGTATTTCTCAATCTCCAATGCACATGTTAAAAAACCAAGAGTTTATTTTGATACTTCTGATTCCAATCCAAGAACACAAGCTGTAGTCTGTTCTTCCTTCATTTGTTACTCCATTTTTGATCAATAGGAAATTGCTCTTACTATAAACAATGTATTTATTTGTTTAATTCTACTAAACATATAAAGAAATGGTGGAATCCCTAACCCATATCCCTGTGAAGAACACATGAACTGAATTAGAGCACAATGATTCTTTTTGTCCTTAGCCCCAGAGCAGCCAGTTAAGATGTGGTTTTCTGAAGTTTCTGAAATCAATTTTTTTTTTCCTCATTCCCTTCAGGGTTGTTGTTACTCATTTGTAGTACAGTTAGACTCAGCTGTTGATGCTTCCATGGAATGGTGTTTAAAATGTTTGTTTCACAGTTTACTAACGTACATTTGGAGCAGCTAAAAGCTGGTATCTGGTAGGAATGGAAAGATCTCATTAGGATACTGGATTTTTAATTTCTCAAAAGTAATGAACGTGATACACTTATGGTCTGGTATAAGCATATTAGAGATGTATTCCAAGAAAATTAAATGAAAACGTTAAGTTTATTTTGAAGCAAAAACAATTGGGTTTTCAAAAAGTTCAAGGAAATGCATATTGTGAAAAAGCTTGCATGCATTTCAAAATTTCTTCGTGCTGATATGAGCCGTTTATTCCATTTTCTATGTATGTTTTGATGTATCCTTTGTATGCTAAAGTTGGTGGTTCTCCTCTAATCTGCTGATTATATCAACATTGATTTTAAAATACTTCCTCTTCCAAGTAAACAATACAATGAAAGCTTGCTTACTATTAAATTTCACCAAAGAAAATGTTTAGATTTCAATTTTTTCCTGTTAGAAAATTGATAGGGGAATCTAGCAGTATGGGTATAGCAGGTTTAACCTCTTTGTGGCACCAGCATCCCATATGCCATTGGTTCGAATCACAGCTGACCTTCCAATTTAGCTCCTGGCTGACGGTATAAGAAAACAGTGGAGGATGGCCCATGTCCTTAGGCCTCCAGCACTCATTAGGGAGACACAGAAGAAGCTTCTGGCTTTGGAATGGTCTAGCTGTAGCCATCACAGCTAGGAATGAACCAGACTTAATGTTTTAATTAACTAGTCCCTTCTGTATTTTAATAAGGCTTCTTAAAAATATTTATTGAGGGCCTGGCAGTGTGGCCTAGTGTTGAACACACCAGGATCCCATATGGGCGCCAGTTCTAATCCCAGCAGCTCCACTTCCCATCCAGCTTCCTGCTTGTGGCCTGGGAAAGCAGAGGAGGACGGCCCAAAGCCTTGGGATCCTGCACCGGGGTGGGAGACCTGGAGGAAGCTCCTGTCTTCAAACCAGCACAGCACCAGCCATTGTGCTCACTTGAGGAGTGAATCATTGAATGGAAGATCTTTCTCTCTGTCTCTCCTCCTCTCTAGATATCTGACTTTCCAATAAAAATAAAATAAATCTTAAAAAAATTTATTGAATTTATTTCAGCAGAGAGATATCAAGACAGACAGAAATCTCTCAACCATGGTTCTCCTTTCAAATGCTACAACAGCTGAGGCAGTGCCAGGGGAAGTCAAACCAAGCGTCCTGCATGGGTGGCAGGGACCCACTATTTGAGTCATCATCTGCTTCCTCCTAGGGTGTGCATTAACAAGAAGCTGGGACTAAGAGAGGAGCTGGGGCTTGAGCCCAGGTATTCAAGATGGGACAAGTGTGTTAAGACACTAAACAATGACAAATTGCTCTTGCTATGGATAAGATATCTATAACGTTTCCTAACGTTGATGAGGGGAGCAAAGGGTTTTGAGTTTGCACTAAATATCAAAAGGGCAAGATCAGGTAAAGTGTTTTTGTAAATGCTATTGGTGATGAATTGACCTAGCTGAATATCAAAAGATACTGCCTGTATGCATGGATTGCTTCTAGTCTAGAAATATATTTTCATGTCTTCACCTACTCTCATTGTGATCCACAGTACAACTTGATAGTTCTTCTCTAATGATGATATATTCTGAATAGGAAAGCTACTAAGGAGCATTGGTAACATGAACAAAATGTATAATTCATTCAGATCCAATTATATAAAGTAGCTCCAACTTGATGTGACAGGAATGCCAACTCTTTTAACATGTTAATTACACATCCTTTAATCTTTATAATTTTCTCTGATCCTTGCTTACTTGCGTCCTTCCAGAATACACAACTTTGTCTATGCATGACAGAAATCAAATAAAACTAAAGACAAACGTACCAAATCATTTAACTGTATTGCTAAAGTGGAGAGCATTCTCAACTGAAAAGATAAAGTAAGAAAAAATATAGTGTGCTAAATATTGTTTAGAACCATTTTTTTTTTGGAAGGCAAGTGTTTTATTTGAAGATGTCTTGGAATTGTATAAGTTAAACAAGAAAAAAAAAATAACCTGAGTTTAGAAATCAGTTATGTAGAGACCCTGCTTACTTAATAATCACTCAGTGCTCAAAGGTCATTGTAGGCTGTTCTCACAGTGCAGGACTGTCTAGCAGTGCTAACCACTGGGGAATTCAGTCACAGAAATCACATCTCTGTATGCAAATATGTCCTGAAGGGGTTTTTTAGAATAATGCAACACAACCCTATTTGGACTCTGTATTTGCCTATGACCACATGCTAAAACCTCTCGGAAATGAAGGCTGTGTTCTTGCAAAGCTTGTTTTCAAACAGCATAGTGGGGAAAATGAAGATAACCTTTTCTATAAAACATATAAATAAACTAAGCAATTCTTCAAGAGTCTTGAAGTTAGTTTTGATTCCAAAATAAAGTGAAACAAAACTCAAAAGCTAGGTTTATTCCTCCTATCAAACTGAAAGGATTAATACTTCTTACGTAATAGATATTTTTTTTTATCAGAAATGACTCATTTGCACTTAAGCTTGTGAATTTTTTACTCCATACTCAAGTAAGACTCCAGTTTTATAACTGGGGGGGGGGTCTGTGCATGGTTTTCCCAGCACCCTCCACAGACCCCGGGAAGGATCCAACACTAACCACTATCTCAGGGGCATACCTTAAGAACAGCTCACCCTCAACACTGGCAGTTCTGTCTGCAGACGTGGGTGAGTATCATTTGCTCATGCATTATTTGCACAGGCCTGCTTGTCTACCTAAAATAAGAAAATCCTCAGAGGCAGGAACCATGATAGTGCATGTCATATATGATTCTGGCCATGGTTTTAGATGTTTAATAGATGTCTGTTTGTTCATTAACTTATGCAAAACAAATATTTGCCCAATTTATGCTCTGTTCCAGGCACAATTTCAGATGCTATGAGAGCAGGAAACAACGCAAGCCAAAATTCCTGCCCTCATGAAGCACATACAAGTGCGTGTGCACACACACACACTATGAGACAGAC